CTCCAAAGGTGGAGCCATGAAGGGAACAAATCTTTTCCTGTTTCCTATCCTCATATGGACTGGTTTTCACTCTTTTATTCTTTTGGATTGGTTCCATACGGGACTCACTCTTTTTTGAGAGTAAGTTTTTCAGGCTTATGTATTTAGCGTATTGTTACCTTTGGCAATGAAAAGAGCACAAACGTCTGCTGAAGTACATAAAAGAAGTCCCCCAACAGGATGCACAAATAAAAAAAAAAATTCTTTTCAAAATATGTGCAGATGAAGTGGCCATGGAGCAGTGGCAAACATTTTAAAACATCACTTCCCTTTTCAGTGTCTAACAAAAGTTGGGGTCGCATGTTTGGTTAAAATCTGTGCACGTGCATATGGCTAGGCTAAATAGTTTCATGAGAAGTAAGGTTTTTGCCACAGCAAATAAGGCATCCATTTAATTTGAAGGTGATTTGAACAAAGGTTAAAGAAATGAGGAAAAAGAAATATTTTTATTCATTTTACTAAAAACCCTTGAAATTGCCTCTTTGGTTTCAATTAACCTCATTGTAAATTTTAACCCATATTTTCATGCTTTATTGGTTTTTATGCTAATACATATTTGCATATCAATGAACAAAACTATGATGACATCCAAGACACTGAATCTCAATGTTGCGCCGATTTGTGCACAGAAATTTTCTATAATTTTTTAACCACTGCTATGGCAGATTTCATTTTCTTTGGCAATTTATTGCTGAGTAAGTATATGGCAATAATCCAGCAAAAATCCTTTTCACAGACAACAGGCAAGCTGAACCATGTCTTCCTCGATTTACATCAAAGCAAGAGCGCCCTCACTTGTCCAGAAATGCTCGGTCAATTTTCAACGTTTGAAAAAGTGCACTGCTCAGTTCACATAACTCAAAAACGATGTCAAACCGTCTTCATACATGGAAGAAGAGTACAGAGATACACAGGAAGGGATTCTAAGAAAAATTCAGCTCCTGGATCCTTTAAACGAATGACATACAGCAACGCAAACGCTCACTGCCACACTGTTCTCAAATATATTGGGCCAGCATACCTGTGGGTAATAGTAGTTAATTTGATGTTTGCAGTCCCTGACCCACATAACAGTCAGGTGTCTAGTCCTTGAATTCAGTTGTTGTTTGCCCATGGTCCCCATGTCTGCCTATTTGTTTTCCTTTGTATTCTTTGTTCAGCCTTGTGTTTTTGTTTACCTTGTTTTGCTTTTATGTACACTGTTAAACTCTGTTATTTTGTTTTGGTCAAACATATAATAATAATAATTACACTAACAGCATGTATTAGAGATTGGATTAAGTTCATAACATTCACAGAAGAATGGGGAATTGGAAAGCGAAAAGAATGATCAAAATCACCAGACCAGCAGCCTAGCTATGTATCCACAGAAGGTAAAATAGTTCCACTGTCCGCTTTTGGTCCAATTTTGCCAGTAATGTAGTCCTGTACTTGGGCCTTGGCCTACTAGCCATTCATCTATGAAAACCCTCATTCTGTATCAGAATTTAACAAACAGCACATGACATTTGCATTACCCTTCAAATTAAATGTAAATGTTGCAGTCACGAGTGCTTGTAAGAGTTTCCCCAAGTGAATTCAAATGCCAAGAACAGATGTATGATTACTAAATGATGGAGCAGAGATTTAACTAATCCACCAGTGACGTGAAGTTTTATCAGGTGAGGGTGGAGGGCATGTCTTTGTTGTATAAAATATGACTGCAGAATTATCCGTACAATTTCAAACACCAAAATCTTGAAGTCAATCAAAGCACAGAATTCAGGTCAATGCTGTGATGGGAAACACTAAACTGCATGTACTTTAACTGAATCAAATACTGAGTGCCAATGGAGGAATTACAAACAAAGGGCTTCACAATCTATTTGCTAGAACACTCAGAGCAGTATTCCGGGGTGCCAGGTTCCAGGGTGCCGGGTTCCAGGGTGCCGGGTTCCAGGGTGACGGGTTCCAGGGTGCCGGGTTCCAGGGTGCCGGGTTCCAATACCCCTGCGTTCGACCTTCACTGACCAACAAAAACTGACGAGCTGGATAACTGAACTGGTAGAGCAATACTGGAGTGCTCAAGGTTTGAATTCCACTTTGATAATTTTCTTTGCTACACTGCAAAAAACGCAGTTGTTTGATGGCTCAGTTTGGAAGAATGTTCTGGTACAGTATTCCAGGGGTTCTGGGTGCAAATCCTGCCTTCGTCAATTTTTCTTTTGCTTCATCAAAGAATACATACATGTACATGGGCACTACCTTTTTTACACAGAGTGCCGACACCTATGGGTAAGGCCAACACAGTCATTCCCAATTCACTTGGTTTTTCAAGCAAACCGAATTTATTTCGTGCAAAGCTAAATTTCATCCCAGGTCTGACAAGAGCAGCCATTTAAAAATACTACGCCTTTCAAAAGCTGGAGGATCTCCCTTCACACTACAATCGCACTCCCAAGCAGGGCTGAATTCAACCAAACTGGCGTGTAACAAATCTTGGGCCCGGGGACCTAGAGTAGATGCTGGTATGAACAAATTCTCGGGCATACGAACACTGCTTGTGTTCCACCGCTGCCCAAAGAGAGCCTTCCCCTACGGATGCCTTCAAGCGTGAAGACACCCAACGTGTACCATCTGTCATATTTTTATTGAATTCTACATCATGCCCAAAGAGGCTATTATTATCTCCAATTTCATTTTTAAAATGAATGACAAGTAGATAATGCTGGTAGCAGAATAAGCAGCCTTTGAATGCCAGTCTGAATCATTCATCAAAGATTAATCCATCATTATGAAAACAAACAAATCCAAGCCATCCCATACGAAAAGGGCACAGATGCGGAGACAACAGTAACCTGCCACTTTGATCTTTGGTTCGTCCACTGCCCAACATGTCCCTTCCATTGTACTCGCTTCTCTCAGAAAGGCTTCACTGAATGGAGCGCCATCAAGTTGTGAAAACCCATTCTCGCCGTTCATTGTGCCCTTTGTGGTAGAGGGAACAATGGGTACAATGGCAGGGTGGGTTGGTCACTTGATGAAGGGCGTGTGCCGAGTTAATCAGCTGGTTGGCTGGGAGGGACTTTCCCACACTCTCCAGAGATCAGGCGATTATTTGAGAGGCCATTATGACAGCAATATACAGTTCACCACATCACAATCAGGAATAAAGGCACAATTTCCCTGATCTTTTTTTTTTTTTTTTTTTTTGAGTGTGTAAGCTCTTCTCCTTTCTTTCCACAAATAATACAGGATTATTTTGTTGGGGATATTTGGACGCTGACAGTTGGCAATATAAACAGACATTTCAGAAAGGACAACAAACATGCAATTTTTTCTTTCCATTCGGAGCTTTGTGACTGCTGCATTTTCAGTCTCGCAACAGTGGCAGATCACGGAGTACAAGGAGACAGGAGGCTAGGCCCTGTGTGTTCCACTGTATTCCTGTATTTTAATGAACCGGGATCTGCTCATGATGCAGAGCCAAGTTTTAATTGTAAACTCTCACTATCAGATGGAGTAATTTCAGGGTGGATGGGGCGAGGAGGTGGGAGTATGGCAAGAGGGGTGATAAGTCCATTTGAAGTTACGACATGTACGGTGGTAACGAGGTGTCTTTTCGGTGATCCACCAGTGCAGGAGTGAAGTGTCAGATAGAATCCAATTCTGCAACTTACTTTTGACACTTTGTGCCGTTGATGAAAATTTACTGGGCTTCCTTGGGCCAAAGACCTAGTGGAGTGGCCAGTTGGTCACATGATATTCCCAATTCTTTATCACCTGACCAGTCACTAGGCTACTGGTTCCCTGACGAAATCTCATTGTTTCAGGCACAATGATTAAAGTTCCCCAAAGCAGGTAATCTATGTCCCAAGTTTTCACTATTTACTGCAACTGTTTTAATCATGTGCCTTTGCCATTCTGTTTTAATAAGAGGAAATCTGAACCCCATGAAACACACTGTACAGTGTCTCTAGGAACAAAGGTGAACAAACAGGGACTTTTTACAGTTCCTTTCAAACTGCTATAAAAAAAATGGGCGGGGAGAGGAGAAGGGAGTATTATAGACACAGCAATGAAAAAAAAGACAAGCATGGAGTGAACACTGCCAAATATTTCTACTTCCTTGTACATGTGCATGAATGTACGTTTGTGTCGCATGCACTTTTGCTGTTCAGTTTGATGCATAGCAAGTGCAAATGCCAAAAGCAAACAAAGGAAAATACAGGGCGGTAATCAAAACCCAATTTTCGGACGGGCTGGGTATGGCATAGCTTTTCTAACAATGGGCATTATATCCTGGTTGGCGGTGGAACTTGTCTTTCCCTTACTCCGCAGGAATGTCCGCTCTTTGTTATCAAGAGAAGCTACTCTCAGGCATGGACCACGGAATCTGGCACTGCGCTTTGTAAATGCAGAGTCAATGGTGCTTTTTTCCCCAAAAACTATGTTTGTGGACAACAGCATAGTGAAATATCTGGTAACCAAAACAGGTCTTTTCATGTTAAACCTGCGTGCCCTGGGTATGAACCCAGCAGTGAAGTGTCACATCAAATAAATGCATGACGGCGGGTGTAATCACTTGACTGGAAAACTGGAACGGTAGTGTCCTACACATACACACAAAACTGTGATGGGACCTTTAATGACCTCCACAACAGAATCCTCGGGGCCAGTAACATTTCACATGGAACTTGTATTTACAAAACCTCTAGCAGGAGTAGACGATGCTAGCAAACTGTGTGTCCATAATTCAATTCAACCTCTCTGTCTAAACAACACGCCAAGCATGCAAACAATTGTCTCAACTGTTTCCAAAACGGAAGCACACAAAGCCATAACATTCACGTGCATGTACTTCCACCTCAGTCTTTGCAGCACATTTGCACATGTACAATACCTGTGCATGTCACTGTTACAAACAACTCAGGTAGGCGAGCTAAGTTAACAATTATAACATATGTTGTTTATGAAATGGACCATTTTGGGCGCTTGGTTTATATTATAGTACATGGAGCCATGAGTCTATGCCCTGCAAATAAGAGTGTCCTTGCTTGATGTCTGCCGCATACCAGCTGTCCTTTCTGCCTTGTTCAATAGGCCAAAATATTCCCCACTGAGATCAGCAGTACCTTACTATTCTGGGAGGGATTGGAAAAGGTTACATTTCCTGAAGCTGGCAGTTAATACCTTGAAAGCACAAAGTGAGTTGTAAAGCAAGACAACCGGGCACAGGGGGTGTCGCACACGATAGGATTACCTTCTACCTCACTCTGAGTCACTGACCACACACTGAGTGAGAGATCCAATCACTCAGCAAAAACAAATTGATTTCACACTGTTTTACAAAAATCCAATAAGTCACAGTAAGTACAGCCTACTCCGACAAATCATCCAAAATCTGAACAGAATTTGGCATAATGTTCAAAATTATCGCATTATTACATTGCCGGCATTACTTTTCTTCTTTTTCCTGTGACCTACTGTAAGTTAAGTGACTATAAGGCACATATTTCTGGCACAAGTAATTTCATGATAATTTCAGAAAGCTTAACTCTTGTACAGGAAAAATAAGAAATGCCCACTTTTGAGTCTAAAGTTTTCAGTGACAGTAAACTCCACAATTAATCCACCAAAGCAAAAAGATTGGAACAGTTTCCTAACTTCAAACACTGGCCAGGGTGACTCATTGTTATGGACCGCGTCACATCCCAGAATCTGATTCAGTGATTTTATTCAACAACCTGATAAAACCAACCTCACTGTTGTGGAGGCTCTGGACCCAATCTTTTCCAAGGAAAAACAAACTCAACTGTTCCCCACATTTTCTATTGTTCATTATCAAAAAGGTCATCTTTACATCATGGTACTGAGATCATGAAAACACCCCTGGACCATTAACTAAAATATACTGGATGTTAGCAACATAATCCATTTCCCTTCATGAATCTCTATTCCTTTCACAAGAATAAAGTGCTTGATTTCTGAAGTTCATGGAAAATACAATCCACAATTCCCAATATGTACACGTACATGTACTTTCCCTAAACCCAAAGTACTAAACTTTGCTCTGTGGAAGAGTGTAACTTATGCATATTTTAAAGGCCACTTTATTGTATAAGTGAGGCCACCACCACACAAAAGTTTTTCAATCATTCATGGACACAATATATGGTCAGTAATACAAGGGTCAGGTCTGGTGGGATTTGGATGGGACTTTGTTTAGCCAATAAGAGACATGTTGCTAGGGATTCCAGCAAGGTCAACTAATATTTATCAAATTTACTGACAGGTCACAAACTGACCATTCAGAAGGAGGTTACTATGGTAGGACCATCTCCTATTGGTTAACACTTAGTGTATACACTGTATAAATGTTACAAGAAGATGGGGGTGTTAAAACTCAGACCCCTATTGGACCATTGATTAATTTAATGATACTAGCAAAATGATATGAGTAACATTTGCATCAAAGTTCCTTAAGTTACAGTACAAGTATTAAAGTGCCCAAGAAAGCAGGAAACATCATCATACACGTAGATCATAGATTTCAACATTATTTCTGGGAGGGGGGACGCAGCCCCCAGATCTCAGACAGCAACGGCACACCATCACTCACGCATCACTCCCCCCCCACCCTATTTTCTGAAAGCAAGCTCAGCTCCCAAATCTCCTGAATTCTACCTGACTACATGTATGTGTATCTTAAATGGTGAATTCTCACTTTGGCAACAGTTTAAATACTCTGACAATTTTTGAGATGATCCCCTTTTTGGGGGGGAGTCAAAGGACAAATAGAATCTATGGAGAAAAAAAATTAACACAACACCTTTTTTGAAGTTCCTAAACAGAGCTGTTGTTAGTCACTTTTGAAAATTTTACTATGCACATCAAATGACATTTTGGCCAGTACACCATTTTTTGACAGATTTTGTTCCATCCTCATGGCCAGCTCTAAGCATAGCCAACTCCTCACATAGATATTTCCAAATTAAACTCCAAGCCCATGTACACATTTGTACAAGACCCTTTTCAACCTGAAGCAAATTTCCAGGTGCCTGGGAACCCTATGAAACTGGTCCCTGACCTCAGACTACAGACTTCGTCAAGGAACAAACCAGAGGTCATACCACTGGCTCAAGCCATGGGAAGTGCTAACCACCAAATGGTAATCCATACAGAGGCTTCAACAATAAAAGTCAGACCACTGAAAAAAAAAACTGGCCCCAACTTTTCCCACACTTGCATTTGCTTTTGGTAAAAACCAAACTGACAAAAGAGCTGGGTAATCCTAGCAAGTGGGACAAATCCTACAATCAAGAAACAGTCACCCCCCCCTGGGTTATTTCAACAGTCTCACAGGATGTTTATATTTCCGTAACACTGCTGTGTTCTGTTCTGATCTCCTCGTGACTGCTAGGCTGAGTCTAATTAGACATGAGTACAGTAATTCAGCAGATAGCTCCAAGCACAATTGCTAAGAACAGGTCATGGGCTGATACATGTATTTCTCAATCCATATCACCTTTAATCTTCTGCCAAACTCAGATCTTAATTCCAACTAACTTGCCCCCAGATCGTAAAAATGCCGTCAAATAGTATACAAGCATACGGTGGTTTACTGACCGGCACATCCAATATGGTGCACAGATCTACTTTGCCAAATTCCGCATTCAGCAAATACAATGCTCTACCCCAAAACAACCACACAACAGAGTGGTTTCCCAATAATTCCCTGAAATCCATAGTTGTTTCACATACATTATGACGAAGGCATTCCTTTTGTTTCCCTGTTGTTAAGAAAACCCTGTGAAAATGTTCAGTTTTCTCCCACTCTGAACACTTTTTTGAACTGTTGACGACAAGTTCGTTGACTTTTCCTTTTCAATTTGCAACCAATAACCATGACTCATACATGACTGGAAAATTCTTTTCCAGAGAGGGGAATACGTCGTGTGGACTTATTCAGTCCACATGACATCTTCATATCTTACATGAACTAGTGTAACATCCACACACACTATCCATCTGCCCCCTCAATATTCACTAAACCTTTCAAATTATCCAACATCCACACTGACTCACCAACTGCCCCCTTTTCCATCCACTAAACAGCTCAACTTACCCAGCGTAGGTGCTCATCTTCACGGCAAGGGACCGAGAGATACAAACACCAGCTCCTCCGGTTGCAAACCAAAAGCTTGTTTGTCTTCTTGGCGGTCTTGGCTCGTTGACTTTTTTCTTGCCAAGCTGTGGTTGAAAGCACAAACCCAAACAGTCAGAACTTCCCTCCCAATTAAAACGGAGACACCTGAAGCTGAGAAGTCATAATTCCAGCACTACATTTAAAGTGTGGCATTCTTATGGTGATAGAAATGTATCACATCTGGATTTCAGAACTTCTATTATGTCCAACACCGCTAGTTAAAAAGTCTCATGCTGCCTTTTGCAGCATATTTTTGATGAAGAATCCGGCTTGGAATTAGCCTCAACTTGAACAATGAGTGTGAACGAGGTCATTCTAAAGACAGAAAGAAGACACAAATATTCTCCTAAAAATTCACACCACACTTTTCTTGCTTCAGCCTGGATTGCAGTCACACATCAACAGATTATCATCACACAAACCATAACAGAAACTGATTGTACCATAGTGACACAAAAACTCTCACTAATTTGAACCTGTGCCTCACAGGTTGCGCTGGCTTAACTAATAAACTAACATGTTATCAACAAACTGCAAATCTGCCAGCATACATAAGGCACACAACTGAGTTAGTGCTGGTACAGCAGGGTTGTTGATTTTTTTTTTTCTTTTTTAAAAACAAAGTTTTTTTAAAAATCTAAATCGGATTTTTTAATTTAAATCAGATTTTTTTTATTTTTATAAAAATGAGAGACAAGTTGGCTCCAATGTCCTTTCAAAAGCAAGCAAATGAGCTGCATGTGTATCGTTTTCTTTTATTTATTTGTTTTGTGACAAAATTAAACAAATTTGGATTTAAATTAAGAAATGTAAGTCAAGTAATTTGATTTAGTTCACAAACCGCCATGTCTTAGCCTTGGTGAAATGCACGCAGTAAAACACCTATCGGTACATGTACCCTCAGAGAAGACACTTCCTTCAGAGAGAAGTACAAGTACGTGCACATTGCACCAAGGATAAAGTGCATACCAGGTTTTAAACCAAACTCTACGTTTTGACAAAAGTAGAGTTCACAAAAATTTCTTAATAGGATACTTATACATGCATCAAATGACTAATGAGTGAGAAACACACCATGAAAAACACGTACATGCATTTATTTTGCATGCTACATTTGTAGGTACAAAATGCTGGTATTTTACCTTGCTCTATGTGCCAAAAGCAGTCTCATTTTGTTTGTGATCCCGTTCCACAGAGCAATGACTTAGGCTTGATTAAAGATCACTTCACTAAGGGCATGAATTTAGTGGTTTTAGTTGTAACACTATAATGACTTGCGTTTCTTATCTCAATAAAATACATGTATGCTTGTAGAGATGTAAAAGGTTGATGTACACCGATACTTTATCATGTTAAGACCACAGAGGAAGGACACAGCAGTTTGAACAGCCTGGGTTATAACATCTGGCCAATTGCCGCTTCCTGGCAGGTCCGGTACATCCAGTTACAGCGCAGTGAATGCTTACTACGCACCATCCGTTTCACAACCATAAGCCCCTATGTACTCTATGATCACTGCCACAATTTTTCATTGGTAATCTGAATCCTTAAAACATTGTGCACTGCAGTATAGGAAGTTGAACATTCATGCCATTGATGGTGCTTGGTATGACCTGAAAACAACATCAAATTTAATGCTTGCGCAGTTGCTTGTATTAGGCTGTATGCCCTTAGTGATCATGTGCAGTCATTGCCCTTATTGAACACTTTCTTCTGGAGTTATTTTGGGGAAGACTAGCTAAGTTGTTTATAAGATATTGTGTTTTATTTGAATCATTTTTATTACGGTATTTATACAAAAAGATATTTCATGAGATCTCTTGAGCACTCCTTATGATGAAATAGCATATTTTGTTTGTAATGAACTTAACTGTCCAGTGGGGGTCAACATGTTGTTGGCCAGTCTTAGCCAAATTTGTACAAAGACTTTGAAAACTGATGTTTGGAGAGACAAAATAAAATTACAAACATCGCAAGAATAATGGAACAGTGTATCAAAGTAACAAGTTTATTCATAATGGCAAAAGTAGGTCTAATGTTAGAGATTTTTTGCTATTTCCTGGTCACGGTGATATGTTGTAGTTAATTGCAAACACACAGAATATTGCTGAATATTACTAGTCCCACTTGTATGGCTAAGCTGCAGGCGGTAATCAGGCATTTATTGGAATGTTTACTATTATGTGTCTGACCAGGTGGCAATGCTCATCAAGCACTTTGAAGTGCCAGAGTACTAACTCCTTCTGTGTGCTTCATCTATGGTTACACTCTGAAGTGGGCAATTGAAATGAAGTAGAATTAAGTCATGACTATAAATCCTTCGCATCAAATACACTTACTGAATCCAAAAAGCTGATTTAAATCAAAACAAGTGGACAGAATTTGACATAAAAATTTTGCCAACCCAGAATACATATATATTCATACTTCTTTTAATACTCCGAACTGGAAGGCTCGCAGAGGGGGATTTGCTGTTTAAATTGTGCAAAACCTGCAAACATTTCCAATCAATCAAAAAAAATTTCATAAATTGAAACAATTTTGCCTTTTAATCCCCAAAATTAAATGTTGATTCAAATCTGTAATAAAAAAAATTATGTTATTTAAATTGCGATTTAAATCGGTGATTTAAATCAAGGTGATTTAAATCAGACAACCCTGTGGTACAGTAATACACAATTCCAAGATCCAAATTCTGTTGGAATATTTATTACTGAAGTTTACGATTGATCAATGTATTGTAAACTTACATTCCTTTTATCACCGACATCATAAACTGTGATCTCTGACGAGGTGCTGGACCGGCCCAGGTAGTAATCCTTGTCATGTCGGTAGGAACGCAATAACTTCAATAAATTGCCAATGTTTAGGTAGTTATCATCATCCACATTACACCACCATCTACAAGAAAACAAACGGAAGTGAACCCGTAACCATCAAGTAGAGATTAGTTCCAACAGAAGTAGTTGCAACATTTGTGTCCATGGGCAAGGAAGTTTACCAAAGGTTCCTGAACATGCCTACAGGGGCAAGTTGGATTCAAGAATGGCACATGTGTTGGTTTGACCCTTTTCTCTCTTGCACACAAGATGTTTCTCAGTGTTGAAAGTCTCGGTGAGACACTTTCAATTGAACTTATTCGCAATTCGGTTAGAATACAAACCACCCAGAACATTGTGAACATTCATGATTCGTAACTGTGAACAACTGGCTCATGAATACTTAATCTGAGAAGGAAGCAAAGCAACCGACAAAAACGGAATTAGTATGAGAGCTCACCTTTTCCCAGACTGCAAGTATGTGGAGAAAATGTGCCCCATTTTGCAGCAGAGGCCCTGCCTGTAAGTGTTCCAAGGGAGGGAAAAAATTGTTGACATAGTAACTCAAAATTAAAAATCAACTCCACACATACAGGGTGACCCTCAAAAAGAGAAACCCCACAAGCAGCATTTATTTTCTTCCAAAATAGTTATCAGAAACTGTTAATTTGTGTATCAAATTAAACCTCAGGACAATCTTTTCAAAATTGAAACTTGCATTTTTGGGGAGTCAACCTCTAGAGTGTATTTCCAATCAACTTATGGGACCAAATTCACATTGCATTACTCCATACGAACAATATGTAAATAAAATATCCATGACGCATGTTGAATTTCTTATAAGTTGTCACAAGCAAGTGTAGCACGATCTCTTCATAGAGAAAAAACTGAGTCAGCATGCAACCTATCATAAATATTACACCCTTCTTTATCCTTCCAACAATCTTTTCCGTACACTCCAACCTTCTGTTTCCGAGACCTTTTGTTTTTCTGTGCAATGGTATTATTTCTATATATACCTTGTATGCCGGGCAGCACAGTGGGTATTAATGAAATGTCCATCTGCAAAACAACAGAACGAGTACAAAAATGAACACTGTACAAATGCAACCCTGCCAGCGAATCAAAATACAGCAAATGCTGTGAATACATAGATTACATAGAGAATTTTAGCTTATAGATGGGGAGTGACTGAAGCCTTTATAACTGTGTACTTTTTGTTCTATGTTTATAGTATTTGTGCATTAGGTTCATTTGGGGCATCAAAAGTGATCACAAAGTTAAAAAGTATGCCTATTCTGCCTAACATCTAACCTGTTGAAATTCAAGCTTAGTGGATATTGAGTATAAAAAATAGTGTAAAATATATTCTAGGATATGCTAGGGTATGATTGGATCCTGATTTCAAATCACAAGTTGCCGAGTAATGTTTTTAATTGCATGCGTATTCCACATCCCATGTGTGGCATCGATGCTTGCACACACTTTGCTAAATTATATTGTACAACAGACTACTCCGTGTAATTATAATTTTCCAAATATTCATCTTTAGCTGCATATTTTAAGATATCCTTGTTTGGTTGTCTTCTTCAAAATGACAGCTTGCCAAAAAAAAAAGTTTCACAGGGAGTTTTACACATGTATAGTCCCATAACTATCTTTAAACCAACAACGATGCTTTTCAACAATAATTTCCTCCATTTCTTATTTGATGGCCCATAATTTGTTTCACTGTTTCCGACAGTACATAGGACCTGAGTCACATAGGTCAAATATACATGGGCTCTTACTTTGGAACAGCTGTTAGAACTTAATACAATTTCCATGCACGGAAATGTTTTCGCCAGCAACAACAGGTTAAGAATACCATTCAGTACTGTAGTTATCATAACTGGTTCACATTTGACTAAATGCAAGCAAACATAAAAAAGCAATATTTTCTTGTATCAACAAAAAAATTATAAAATTTAGTAAACTTGATAAAATAGTTACAGCTGTGGACACAGATCGAAGGTATGCATGACATTTTTTGTTTTGCTTTGGCAAAACTCACCGGTTTCTTTGGAATATTTTGGGCTGTCAGCATCGGTGAAAAAGTAAGTCTGAAGAGGGAAAATGGTAGAAGTATGCAGTTGAGTTGAAGAGATAGATATTTCACCAACTTAAATAAATATCCCCACTGAAGCTTTGGTGCTGAGGTACTAAAACAACTTTAAAATGCAAGGACCAAGTTCAGAGTATTTTATTTGGTATGGAAGTTCCAGATGAGGCCAAAGACGGACTCCGGGGGCCTTGATATCCCACCCAAAACACAGAGTCAGAATCTGGAAAGTGCAACATTGACTTTGTTACCTCCAATCTGAGGTCGGCTAAAGTAAAGTTTCTTATTTAATACGAGCACATATGTACACATACATGTACTTGTCATGACTGTTGTGTTAACAGACAAGCCTGGTCACACAAAAGAGAGAGGCAGATCCACCATGCACAGAATCAGACCCAAAGACCGGGGGGGGGGGAGGACTGGAAGGCAACGTCCCTATCCCCCCAGCAAATATCAAATATTGTCTATCATTCTTATGATGATCCCCCTTCCCATAGCTGGCAACAGAGTGGAGAGTAGCCAATGTAGTCTGCCAAGCTCTGGAGGCATTGCCTGTGCTCATTTTAGACATACATGTACAAATCCAGTGCCTCACAAAATTACACAGTTATGTATAAACACCAAAATAAACGACCAAAACTAAATTAGGGCTAATAAAGTATGCAGCAATAGCAGAGACCCCAGACTCTGAGGCACAGACAGTAAACACCTCACTGCATTGTATGCAAAACTACCTCAGATCATTATCCTTGCCTGAGCACATCACCATAATGAATTCAAGGACTACTACCTTTCCATCAAATTTGCTCCAAATCAGAATACCTAACAAGCGCATCAACCCTCATGGAGTTATTCAACGTACATCAAAAGTTGGGCTTCTTTTTCAATGTTATTCATACAACTTTTTGACCATGGATGGTCTGCAAGAACAACAGTCACTGGGGGGTTTCAAAACTAACAGAAAACCATATGAAATTCTACAATAACATTTTCCAACTCCCATTTCTGTTGACTGGCATTCAGGCACTATTTATAGTCACTCTAGGCAAAATAGTGCAATAGTAAGACAAAAAGTCTAATATAATGTATATTGACCCCTCATTGCCCTCCCCCCACAAACTAAAATACTCTGGAGAGAAAGTAAGCTATTTAATTGGTATTATCTGAGTTTTTTCTTTTAATACCTCATTCTTTGAACAAGTTTGATACAAGTCAGACAATGCGGTTTTCGTGTCTCAGTTTCTTTCAAAATATTACACTTTATTTAATTTATCAGAAACTTTCTACCAGGTAACAGACCCTCTCAAAGGATACACCCACTCCTCCTTCTTTAACTGTTCCATCAAACTTATTTCGCCAACAAAAAAGAACTCATCAAAATTAACTACATTCCATGAACTTTGTCTAATTAACCACTGGATTTATTTTCAAAGGCAGTGCGTATTTGAATATACATGTACTTGTAACCAGCGAGAACTAGTAGAGTGAAGTGGAGAACTACGTAACCATAAATGCCAGGATTGGAGGTATGCCCATGGACAATGCAGCTCTGACAAAGTGCAAACACGTTAGTGATTATGTGTAGGAAGTTTATCTGATTGTAAACTTGGTCAAGTTCCCTTGAGCTCAGTTTATCTAACTTGCCCAGACTGGCCCAGAATCTCTTTTGAAATCAGTGAATGTCTTGCACACTTTGTATACGTCAGAATTTAATTATGGCTAACCAAAGTGCAATTTTTTTTACTTGCTGATAAATAGAGACAACGCCTCTTTTATGAAAAAGTAGATATTCTGATTACAGTCAGTTGCATTAAAAGTCAAATTTCAGTGTCCTGGGATGTTTCACTGGGTATTCCCGACAGCCCTATCAATGGCAGAAAGAATCTGTGTTGGATTTTGCACAGAGGGATTGTCACTCTGACTAGTTATATTACCATGGTCACCCAAGTCATATACTGGGTGAAGGTACCCTACTCTGCAGACATGGACATGAATGAAGGAGTACATGTACATTCTAGTATAGCTGCACAGGGTCTGGCATGTGCTACCGAACTCTCGACACAGAGACAGGAGTTGGTAAAGTAACTTGACCAAAGACACATCTGCCCATAGTTATCAACTGGATTCGAATCCCAGACCTTCTTGCTGCATATTACTACGTCAGATGCCTAGAACAATTTCACAATCCACACTTTTAACACTCACAGATATAACAGTCTTCAACTGTAAAAGGATTCCTGCATCTCTATACTTCTCTTGATTTTTAGCACTACAGGGATTGAGGACAATTTCAATTACTGTCGAGAGTCCTTCTTTCAAGTCAAGGGTCCTTCTTTCAAGAATTTTCGTGCAAGTAATATACATGTTCGTTTAAAACTCAAGGTTTCCCCATTATCTTTTCAATCGTATTTTAGCTTTGAAAATCTTGTGCTATGCAGACATGTCGCTGTTTTTTCAGCACATAATTGTACAATTTCGGCATATTTGCTGCTGATAAAAGTTTTTAATAACAAACCAGAAGTAATAATAGTAAATTCTGTCTGTGAAGTACAGCCACACTATCAAGAGTTCCATATAAACCAACATAACTAATTTTCCACTGCAGTCATTAATTTGCCATCAGAAAGTGACAGCATTTTTTTTAATGTCAAATTTAGCTGGATAAAGAAAAGAAATAAACGGATGGAACTAATTTTTCCTCCTGAACAGCCACCTGAAAAGCCATCAAATGTTCTCAGAAGTGGAATTCTGCATTGAAAATTTTGAGATATTCACTAAAAACACTAAGAAAACAAAAGTCTCGTAGGGTTTTTGAACAGGGTGTCAAGTGATGTTCACGTGGAAAACGTTTCATGAAATTTACCTGTTTTCTGACATCAGCACCGTCCAGCCACGTCTCAAAAAGTACGGGTAAGCGGGTGTCATGATATATCTCAGTCGTTTTCACTCCAATAAATATGTCTGACAGTTCAGTCTGCCTGAAGCTGTTTTCAAATGTTGTGGGATTGCTGGGTATGAAAGATTTATTCTGCACTGGGACGTATCTCGAAGTATTAAACGTTTTCCTTCCAAGACTTGAATGTGACTCAACCCTTGCAGGCTGAACGAGGTCATCTTCCCGCCCCTCACTGCTGAAGAAGATGTTCCGCGGCCGGCCCCCTCTTTTGGATGAACCCTGCCACGCCTCCACCTGCAAAGCTTGAATTTTGGACGAGCGATTCTCTTTTTCCTCGGCATCACTCGGCAACAGCAGTAGTACTGCAACAAAGCACAGCATGACATAGACTGTCCCCATCATCAGAACAGTTCTGGGTTTTAAGCTGGACATACGTTGCCAGCGGTAATACATCGCTGAAGTTCACACCTTGTGAGGCAACTGACCATGCTAACTGAAGAGTTCACCATCACATAATGCACACGCCCAAGGAAGCCTTACTTTTCAGGGATTGCGGCTGTAGCTCGTGTCCTGCTCCCCAGCTCTGTGATTGAGCATTATGAGCCTCGAGAACAACGACGGCATGAGTCAGTCTGATCGCAGAGCTGGGATGACCGCCACAAGGTGCAATGTACATGTACTATACACGTAGGTGTTCACTACTTAGGCGTACAGCTACAGGTGTACATGTAAATAAACTTGCGTAGTTTGTTATTGATTTGATCTAGCACTGCAATGCACTTCCAGCTTCTGGGCACGGTACTCCAACTTGCGACGAGTCATGCTTGTCGACGACACTTTTGTTGCCACCCGAGCCGTTTGAGTTCGGAAATATCTCAGACATCGTCTTAACACTTGCATGCAGGCTGTTTCCCGGTTTGCAGCTAAATGCAGCAGCTCCGGAAGAGTGACACGCAAACTACCCAACAGTCCCGCGGCACTGCACGTAATGTACATGTATGTTTTTGGACCTGTTGCACGAAGAGAAGGTAAATTTACATAATTGATTTTCTAGAGGGAGCTACGTAACAAGTCCAGAGCACCCTTCGGCACGGGGGGAGAGATACGATCTTTCAGGAATAGCATGCATTCAATAGCAAAACTAGCAAAGTAAGCCTGCAATCAATATACACACATCACTTTTATTTCTTAAAATATTATCCTCGCCATGTTTGTAGGCTGAATGAGGCCATACCCCACCCCTCACGGCTGATTTTGTTCTCTCTTTCTGTTAACCTCAGTTCAAATTTTCTTTTTTAAATCCAGGTTTGTCAATGACTGTGGGCAGCCATCGGAGCAAAAAAAAATAAAAACACCACGAAAAACAAAATAAAAAATAGGTTTTACAAATAAACAAAATGAAATAAGATATAATTTAAAAATAAATAATGAAAGAACAACTAAAATTACGAACAATTAATAAAAGTAGATAAAAAATAAACAATGAAAAACAAATAAAATTTTTAAAAATGACAAATTAAATGGAAAATAAAAATAAACACGCGCGCCAACAAGGGACAAAATATCTAAACAATAACAATCAGGATCACAAACAATCCAAACTGAAATCAACAGCTGTTAAATCAACCTTCTTTTTGTCCAAACTGATAGTGATACGTGAAATGCGCTCGAAATGAAAAGTGAGCTACATAGCCCTATCCTGCACGGTAACCTCAGTCCCAAGCTGAATGTTAATGTCAAGAGTTGAAAGAGTCATGATTGATATTGATGTGTCATCGGATACACCTGCCTTTTTCAAACTAATTTTTAAAAGTACGGGAATTCGATGGATTCCGTCCCACCTCTCTACTGCCTTAGGAAAGCACACATCAGTGTAAACAAAGCTCCACGTTATTATGTCATAGGTTTATTAGACGTTCATTCACAATAAACGATGACTGTCTAATTTCACTGTTTGGATTGGTTGTAGCCCTCTTAGATGAAATCGATTTCTGTTAAATAATTCGGTATTTGTTAGGGAGAGTTTAAGTTGTAATACAACTATAGATCATGTCGTCACCGTCCTCAAAGATGATTAGCCCGTGGCTTTATGGTGTATTTTGTTGGCGATCATTCAATGAATATATTTGGGTTTTTTACTGAAATAAAACGAAGAACAAAAATAGTGCCCATTGCAACATTCGAAATGTATCAAGTTCCTTCCATCGCTTGTTTGCAATGCAATACATCATACCAGATGACTCAGGAAATTTCCTGGGACAGTTCAGTGAACCTTACTGCTGCATTCCCGGTATTGCGACAGACATGGCCGTCACTGTGCTGGTTATTTCGCGCCCTGTCCCATACGCTCGGAAGGTGGACTTGTAGCTGGAACGCGTTCTCTAATACGCCGTTTATCCATTCCTGTCATTCAAGCTACTTCTAAATTGTTTATTAAAGAATATTGAGTGCCCAGATACTAACCTCCCACTTAGACCGCCCAAATTATCAAACAAACAAACATAATGAAAGAAAGAGCCAGGACCTGAGATTGGAAGTTAAACAAGACGGCCAAATGGTTGCTTACCCAGATTGTTCATGCAGTGAGGATAATATCCACTGGAAAGGTCTTGTGGCTCTGCGTTCTCTAGATACGGAGACAGCTGAAAATGTCAACAGCAGACTAAAATTTAATACAGAAATGCACAACAAAAACACAGGAACAAGTTGTAGAACGAATTCCGTAGAGAAGACCACTCCTCACCCTGGCCTATTCCGGGGGTAATGATGATATAGAAAATCCAAGTGTAACAATGAAAAAGTTCATAACGCCGTCTGATTACTTATACCTGCACAACCTGCACCATACTGTATTCCATCCAACATCGCGTCGCCACGTGATGTCAACATCCTATTTAAATTTGCCGCGCCGCACATCAATACATGAGAGTCCAACTCAGCTCCACGAACACGAAGGGTTCGGGGTAAAACTGTAACATTCAACAGCCGGTCTGTTGTACGCAAAGTACATGACTGGGCAGATTCCGATTAGGTTGGCTCCATTGTCTGCACAGGATTCTGATTGGATACTGGTCGTCAACGGTCCAACGCGTTCGGCTGTGGCATGCATGTACAGCAAAGGACAAATTGATAAAGCAACATGCAAAATGGATCTTGCGGTACACAATAAAATTCAAGGAGTTAATAGGCTTAATTGTGTCAGCTGTGAATGGCATCCCATTTTGAATGATTCAAAGTTTTCCCTTATTGATGACATGGAGTACGATCGCCTTTTTTTTTTTCAATCCAATCATG